GCTGCACACACAAGCTGCACACATAAGCTGCACACACAAGCTGCTGCTGCACACACAAGCTGCTGCTGCATACACAAGCTGCACAGATAAGCTGCACACACAAGCTGCTGCTGCACACACAAGCTGTACACACAAACTGCACACATAAACTGCTGCTGCACACACAAGCTGCTGCTGCACACACAAGCTGCTGCTGTACACATGGCACCGAGGCAGCTGATGCAGTTCCAGGCAGGAGGAGCTGAGGAGGAGAGAAGAGGCAAGCAAGTGAACAACACTCAGAAAAGGGAGGGTCACCTGCAGAAATGCAAGCTCCCCGTGCATGTAAGGCTGGACCTGTGAGCCCTGGGAATATAATTGTCTCAAGTGTCCTGCGGCTGCAGGAACAAACACACTTTTTGACTTTTTTTTTTTTAAGCTGATATATGGAGCTGAGGATGGGGAGCAGTTGGTAGGGTGCTTACTCAGCATACACAAAGCCCTGGGTTTGATTCCTAGCACCACATAAGCCAGATGTGGTGATACACATCTGTAATCCCAGCAACTTGGGAGATGGAAGCAGGAAAATCAGAAGTTCAGGTTGTCTGTGGCCAGCCTGGGCTACATGAGACCATCTTGGGAAAAAACCAGATGATTTGATGCTTCTTGTATCAACACCACCTCTTCTTCCCTCTGGGCACTCTCTTGTTCTCCATCTACATTCCCCCACCAGTCTCCCCGTCTTTTGGAAGCTAGCTGTACCCCCACTGTAGGGAATCTCAAGCGTTTCTCTCCTCTTCAAAGGTAAGAGCACAACCATTGATGACCTGGAACAGTGGTTCTCGACCTGTAGGTCATGACCCCCAGGGGGTTGTTGAATGAATGACCCTTTCACAAGGGTCACATATCAGATATTTATATCATGATTCATAACATTAGCAAAAATTATACTTAGGAAGTAGCAATGAAAATAATTTATGGTCGGGGGTCATCACAACATGAAGACCTGTATTGGAGGGTCACAGCATTAGGGAGGCTGAGAACCACTGATCTGGAAGAAACCGGTGCAGTTATCAGAAAGCAGGAAACAGCGCTCCCAACTGAAGCAGTTCACTTTCACACTTGACTATGTCCTGAGCGGGCACATGTGTCCCACCCCTCCTTCAGCACGGGTGACATGGTGCTGTCACATCACCCACGAGCGTCTGGGCCGTGAGATGGAAAGTGACAAGGCTCACACTTGAAGCATGATAAATCCTTTGCTGGTTGTTTTGACGGTGGGCACATTTTTGGCATTGCTCATAAAGTGAAACATGACTGGGCTTTGGGGAGGACAGAAAAGGAAAGCCAGTCCCCAGATCTGAGCTTGGTGAGCTCCTAAATTAATGCCTGATGCATGTCAGCCTGGTTGAGAATTCTTAGCAGGGGACAGGGCAGAGCCAGAAAGTCTTTCTTTCTTTTTATAGTGAAAATAAATAAATACTGAAAAGAGTCAGAGAGTCAATGCCCCACACTTACCTGCCACCCAGTGTGAACCTCTTTGAGCATGCATTTGTCATGTCAAGGACATTCTCCTCGGCCAGACCTGCCCTTGTCCCTTTTGGTGGGGGCCGGGGTCGGGTAGGTAGCATGTAGCACCCATTCTGAAGATAAATCAGACAGCACCCGAAAGCGATGCGTAATAAGCAGGGAGAAATTAACGGCCCCATTTCCAGCCCCGGGACTTCTAAAAACAACCTTTCATGAGAAGGAAACCTAGGAAGTCCTTGGTGAATTGGGCTTAACTGCAATTTGAAGGCTGTCAGGAATATTTACAGAGTCTCTGGCTTCTGGAAAAATTCCTTAATTTACAGAAGGAGTTCGGTCATGCAGAAAACCCTGGGGAGGTGAGGGGTACTGTGGCTCCAGCCAGAGCAGACTCCTGAAGCCTGGGGAATGTTGGTCCAGGGGGTGTTTGGGCTGGAGTGGTTTCTGTCTAGCCCCCTGCGTCCAGTGGCGGACTCTGGCCAAGGTCGTCTTTGATGCAGCAGCCCTTCCAGGCACACCCGATGGAAATTAGCCTGGGGTCAGACTCTACCCCTGTCAGGCGGCTAACTGGAAATTTTGTTAGCCCATTCATCAGGGGTGTTTTGTTGGGGTCTTTTAAAAGGAAGTAGTCTGCCGGGCCAGGAATGTGACTGAGGCTGCAGGATTTGCAAAGAAAATACATTGCCTTTTGGTTCAGACTCACTGATGCCCTGGAGGCCACCCCCCCCCCCTTTTTTTTTTGTGCACCTGTAGGTAGCCTCATCCTATATTTTGGCTAACTGGGGCAGGGAACTGGGACTCATATAAAGGGTGAGGAAGTGCCACCTTCCTTAATAAGCAGTAAAACGCAGGCCCACCAAGGGGCCACGGAAGGAAGGAGGCATTCCCAGAGAAAGTGCTGACTGAACTAACATTGTGTTGAGATTTTCCATACCTGTGGGTGTGTGCTGGGAAGAGCTGCCACTGCCCTGGTTATGAAGGGGCACTGTATCCTGTTTCCCGTTGTCCCTGAGGGTACATGAAGCATCCATCCAGTCATTCCCTTAACCTGGACAAAAGGTAAGGGGGAATTCTGGCCAAGGCCGCAGGAGCTCAAGAATGCAGGCTTTGGATTCTCTGTTACATGAACCTCCATTGCATTCATTTCGACTATTGAAGGCCAGATACAGAAAACAGGATTTTACCAAATAGCTATTTGACGATCACCCAGCCTATTTGAGCCTCAGTTTCCCCAAATCTGAAGTGAAGGCTTGCACTAGGTAATTTCCCATGAGCCCTAACAGAATGTGTGTGCGTGTGTGTGTGTGTGTGTGTGTGTGTGTGTGTGTGTGTGTGTGAATGAGTGTGCTGATGCATGTGTATGGGTAGAAAATGGGTGTGTGTGGAGGCCAGATGTTAACCTTAAGTGTTGTTTCTGAGAAGCAACCCACCCTGTCTTTTTGAGACAGCGTCTCTTCCTGGGACTGGGCTCACTGATTCAGCAACGCTGGTTGGCCACCAAGCTTCAGGGGTCCCTCTGTGTCTCCCTCCCAGCGTCCGGATAACAGCTTTTTATGTGGGCACCGGGGGGTTGAACCCAGGTCTTCATGCTTGTGCAGTGGCAGGCACTTTGTCAACTGAGCTATCGTCACCCTGGACCTGAAATTCTTTTATGCTTTGGAAGCCTCCAAATGGGGATGTGCCATTTCTTTCTCTCCTTAAACGGAAGCCTGAATGTGACCCAGCCCTGGGGTCTGAGGTCTCGTGTGAGGTGGCCGCCAAAGCCAATTAATCAGTTCCCTGTTGCCGAATCCCTTACACAGCTCTCCTGCCGAGCTGCCCCACACCTGCTGGCCAGAGGTCCCTTCCAAGCCAATGGGCTTCTGGCTCCACAGATGATCCTTCTGCCTGCAAGTTTCTCTCTCTTTTTTTTAAAAAAAAAAAAGTATTTAACTTTATGTGCGTTGGTGTGAAGGTGATAGGTTCCCCCGGAACTGGAGTTACAGACAGCTGTGAGTGGCCATGTGGGTGCTGGGAATTGAACCCGGGCCCTGTGGAAGAGCAGCCACTGCTCTGAACCCCTGAGCCATCTCTCCAGCCCCACAAGTTTCTCCCTGGAGCAAGCACTGCATGGTGAAGTAGTTCTGTTGACCACCCAGGTCACTAATCGGCTGTTTCTCCTCCTGTCCTACAGTGTGACCCACCTCTAGAAGTTACGGACCTGTTCGTTGATATCCAAGATGGCAAAATCCTGATGGCTTTGCTGGAAGTCCTCTCCGGGCGAAATCTGGTATGTGGTGTATTGGGGAAAAAATGCAAAAGGAAGTACTTCCAAAGGCTGCGTTTTCATTTGGGCGTCAACTTTCCGTCACTGTGACAAAGCGCCCCAGTCAGCTATTTCAAGGAGGAAGGGTTTGTTGGGGCTCGTAGGTTCAGAAGTGGCTGTGGCCACTTTGCCGTGTTGCTTTGGGCCTGAGAAAAGACGGCACATCACAAGAATGTGTCGCAGGGAAGCTTCTTATCTCGGGGCAGCAAAAAGAAAGGGACCAGGGATCCCAATATCATCCTCAAGGGCACGGCTCTGAAGACCTAACTTCCTCCCACCAGGCCCCACCTCCTAAAGGTTCCATCACCAGCCGGTAGCCCCATAGCCTGGTGTGTATAGGCCAATAACACCTGAAGGCTCTAGGCAACCATGACGTCGGGTGTACATGCACGCACACATCCACACAGAGTGTAACTCAGTGTCAGGGAATGCTGAAGGGTGGCGTTCCTTTATAACGTGAGGTGGGGCACTGGTGAGGTGACTCAGTAGCAAAAAGCACTTCCTGCTCTTCCAGAGAACCTAAGTTCTGTTCCAAGCACCCACGTCGGACAGCTCCCGATGGTCTCTAACTCCAACTCCAGAGTGTCCCCATACTCCTCTCTGCCCTCCGAGGGCACCTGCGCACATATGCATAAATAAATTGAAAATAAATAAAGAGGGACGTGAGAGCTGGAGAGATGGCTCAGCAGTTAAGAGCACTGGCTGCTCTTGCAAGAGGACGCAGGTTCAAGTCTCAGCACCACATGGGAGCCTACAACCGTTCTAACTCCAGTTCAAGGGCATCTGACGCCCTTTTGTGGCCTCTGCAGACACTTCACACACACGGTACACATATACACATGCACTTATATACATAAAATAAAAATAAGTGAATCTTAAAGAAAATGAATGCTAAGAACATACATAACTGAGTGGTATCTGTTTTTCTTTTATTATTATTATTTTGTTACTGTGTATTTGTGCACACATGTTGGGGGTGTGTGCATGTAATAAGGTGTACATATAGAGATCAGAGGACAACTTAAGGAAGTCAGTTCTTGCCTTCCCTGTGGGTTCCTGGGATCGAACTCAGGTCACCAGGCTGGCGTGACAAGCACTTTTACTTACTGGTCCATATCTTTTTCAGTCTGTTGTTCGTTTTTTAAAGCAAACCTGTTTTAGTAGGTAAAGAAGTAAGTGAATGCCTGGTGTTTTCAGTGAGCCTGTGATGGTTAAGAATTGAAATTGAAGGATCGAGTTAGCTAAGCTTTGTGCTAACCAGAGTTACAGCTTAAAATTAGGGAAAACCTAATTTTAGGCTTTAGGCTGTTGGATGAGAATAGGTAGCCTCTCAGTGCTAGGAGCACCCACTAGTGTGGCCACCCAAAATGTTCCCAAGCATTGTCAGATGTGCTCCCCCCCAGGGTGGCAAATGATCCAGTCCGAGATGCCAATCATAGGGTCTGGGGAAGTGGCCCAGCAGTTAAGCGTGATTTTGGCTCTTGTGGACTGCTGGAGTTTGATTTGTAGCGTCCACATCAGGTGGCTCACCACCGCCTGTAGCTCCAGCCCTAGAGGATCCAAAGTCTCTCTGGCCTCCACTTCCCCCGGCATCTGCACCTATGGGCACATGCTCACATAAATAAAACTAAAGCCTTTTTTTTTTTTTTTTAAGGCCAGATGTATTTAAGTTGAGAAACTGGCTCAAGGTGTGCGTGTTTACTTGGGCTTCGGCAGTCCTTTATGCTGGATGCAGGTGCCGTGGCAGATGCAGCACCATACAGTCCGCTCTGGCTCTGGACCCAACTTGAAAAGCATGACTTCTCGCCCGGTGTGCTGGCACGCTCCTTTAGTCCCAGCACTCGGGAGGCAGAGGCAGGAGGATCTCTGTGAGATCAAGGCCAGCCTGGTCTACATGATGAATTCCAGGACAGCCAGGGCTACACAGAGAGACCCTGTCTCAAAACAGACAACACATGGCACGACGTCTCTTCTCAGACCCGTGGGGTTGAGGCCCTGTCTCACCCATTCACACTCACGACGTAGAAGATGCCAGTGAGTACACTCAGGGCAGACAGCTGTGCAAAGCTGGGTGAGGCAGTCTCAGCAGGTCTCAGTGGACAAGCTGCAGGGCCCCCCAAAGACTTCATAAGAAAGCGAATTCTGAGCCCTTGTTCTGTGTTCCCAAGAGGCAGGCTCCCACTTTGAAGCCGGGGCCCATGGCAACAACCTTCATGTCCTTGACCTTTGACCCCGCAGCTCAGCAAAAAAAAAAAAAAAAAGTCCTCCACTGCCTATTGGTAGAGCACAGTGGGTCCTTTCAGGTGGAACTGGCACGTGTGTTCTCTGGAGACGGGCTCACTGTGGCAGTCTGTGGAGAGCTCTGTGCACAACTCTGTGCAGAACTCACGCTGTCAGGATTGGAGCTGCAGCCTGCAGCTGGCTTTTGTGTGTGTATTCTCCCCATGTGAAAAAGTGCTTAGCCAGAAACCAGCCACATCTGCTGCTGCTGCTGCTGCTGGGGAGGCTGAGGCGATGAGGAAGACAGCAAGCTCGCTTCCCTAACCAAAGAGTCACGCGCGCTGTGAGAGCATGTTACTGCAGGTCCCTAGAGGAGGGAGGCTGCTGGCTGGAGAGAAAAGTAGACACATTTGTCCCATGTCGAGATTCCCTGTTCCCCATCTCCAGTGAGTCAGGTCCCAGGATCCCAGTGTCACCGTGGCATTTGGATAGTGTTTTCAACACCATCCCTAACCTTCTCCAAAAGGAAATGATGAAGGACAGGCGCCCACTGTGGTCCTGGGGCGCTACCGCGCCTGCACCTGCTTAGCGGTATCTTCTCTTGTTTTTCAGCTGCATGAATACAAATCCTCATCACATCGTATTTTTCGGTTGAACAACATAGCAAAAGCACTTAAGTTTCTGGAAGATAGCAATGTAAGTATTTGAAGGCCGCCTCGATAACACAAGCTTGCCCCGGGGAGAAAGGGCAGAATTTTGAAGTTTGGTGTGGTCATGAGGGAAGTGTAGGAAGTTTTAATAGCGGAAATAGCCAACCCCTCCCAAGCTTGGGGTGAAGGAAAGTCACTTGGAGAAGCTACATTTTGGGATGTGGTTCCAATGTCCTGCCCACCCTGTTTGTGCCTGTGGGTAGGCAGTCTGAGAGGGGGACAGCAGCCGGTGGGTTCCCAGAGCTGTGGGATTCATTGCTAGAATGTAGCTTTCTCTTGGCACTTGAGGACCTGGCAGTCAGTGTGGCAGAGGGAATGATAGCAGCCTGGCTGTCGTGAGGATTTCTGGATCTGCATTTGGAACTGTTTCATGTCCTTCACAGGTGAGAAGGGGAGGTCCAGGGGTGACCTCCCCAAAGCCTCCTTTCACTAGGTTTGTTTCTGGATCAATCTGAGTAAAAACAGTCTTCAGCTTGTCTCACCCGTTGGCACAGAGTAAACATTACCCCAAGGTGCAGATCCTTCTAGGTTCTGTGTGTCAGACAGGCAGGTGTGCACTATCTCAGCAGACAGGGAACCAGGTGGAGGATGTCCAGTAGCTCATGAAGGGACCCAGAGACTCGAGGATGGAGCCTGGGAAGAGCCGGGTACCTAGATCATCTCAGAACCCTGCTGAAGGACGGGAGCAGGCGTGACCCTGCTTTTCTGACTGCTGCTCTCCTCCAGCCTGGGGAAGGTGTTCACCACTGCAGAATGATGTGATGTCAAGCCTGGGGCTGAGCCACAGCCCCGGATACAAGTGGAGTGGGAAGCACAGTTACCACCACAGAGGAGGGGGGATCTGTCTCCCAGTCACCACACAGTAGAGAAAGTCCTGGACGCCAAAGGTTCAGAAGATGGTGACCATAAAACACCCCAGTGCACCTTTGATATCTGAGCCTTTAAAGGTGGAAACAGACCAGGAATTTATCAGCTGAGGGATGGATCAGCACTCCTGTGGCATATTACTTGGTTGTGAAAAATAATTTGGTGCTAGGTGTGTTATAGCATAGGACCTCAAGTACAGTGTGCTGGGTGACAGAAGCCAGGCCGACATGAAGAGTGCTTCTTACATGGTCCCATTCACGTGAAATTCCTATGGTGGAGAAGTAGACTGATTAGTGGTGGCTTAGGCCTAGGGGGAGGTAGAGGGATGCAGGATGATGACTCATGGGTCCTGGGCCACTCTTAGAAATGGTAAATGTGGCGCCGGGCGTGGTGGCGCACGCCTTTAATCCCAGCACTTGGGAGGCAGAGGCAGGCGGATCTCTGTGAGTTCGAGGCCAGCCTGGGCTACCAAGTGAGCTCCAGGAAAGGCGCAAAGCTACACAGAGAAACCCTGTCTCGAAAAAAACCAAAAAAAAAAAAAAAAAAGAAATGGTAAATGTGGTCCACAGTCTGCTGCAGTGGTGTTCACACAAGTCTGCAAATATACCAAACCCATTGAATCAAATGCTCTAAATGGGAGGCTTGAAAATGTCGGCCTCATCTCAGTGAAGTCTTTTAAAATACAAGCCCTTCACAGATTCACTTAAGGGCTGCTCCCTCTGTGGGCTCAGGAACGCTGTCAGCCTCTACTTGAGCGAGGATCAGCCTTGACTTAGTGCGACTAGGCTTCAGTTTCCAATCCTGGCCTCCCCACTCACTTCTAGGGACTGTGGGAAAATCTTATACCTCTCTAAATAGAAGGATCAGAAACAGAACTCAGAGAGCTGTTGAGGTGGTGGTGTGCCCACACCCGCCAAGTGCGGTGTGGCCGTTCTCTGCCACTTCCCTGGCTTGACTGACTTGTGATGACACTCGCCTGTGTTCCATCCATTTTCTTTCCTGAAGCAGTGTCCCCTCTGAATTCCAAAGGAGCCCTTATTTGGGAGAGGAGATGGGTGGGGCCTTCACACACCTGCCTCGGTTACTCCTCCTCCTTCTGCCTTAGTCGACTGTGAGATGGTCTCCCACTGTTAATGCCCACATGGGTGGGTCTGGTCACAGTTACCCAGGCATGTCATAGGCTTCCATCTGAGTGTCTTTGTGGACCCGGGCTATACCTAGCATTAGGGAGAATCAGTTAATAAGATGCACATGAGCCTTGGAGATGGTTGGGGTCCAGAGGAAAGAGCGTTCATGCAGGCAACATGCTGTTTGGCACTCCAAGGCACAAAGAGGAGCCTCAGCCCCACAAAGATGAGGATATGTGGCCTGAGGAGTCTTCACGTGAGGGTGTTCCTGCCATAGAGGAACGTGGTGCCATGGGAAAGCGTGGCAGAGGCTGAGAAGGCCTGCCTTCTGTACTCCCTGTGTGAGCCTTTTCCAAGCTGTCTGCTCTAGCACAGGACCATGGACCATTGACCCCACTTTCCCTTTTATTTATTTATTTTATAGCAACATTTAGAAACATCTCAGCGTGGATGGATGGTAGCACAGTGCCTCATTTTGCTTCGTTTCCCAGGCAGGGGGATGATGACCTAGGAGGAAGGTGATGATGGAGAGGACAAGATAACCTCCCTGAAGCATGCTGCATCCCATTCCCAGAATGCACAAAATTAATTACTTAGGGAGCCTTGCTTGTCCCACTTTGCGCCACTGGATTTGTGTCTGGATTCCAAGAAGGGCAGGCCTCAGTGGTTTTGTTGGGTCCTTGGTGGCAGTGCCCACAGTTCTGGGGTCCTTGGACCAGCCAGTGTGCACTCGTCCTTCCTGTCAACTGTGGGTTACAGAGAGCCTCCCCCTGGGACCATCTCGGACCTCCAGTTAAGTTACTCGGGCCAAGCCTTGGCTTTGTCACCTTTGAAATGGGGACACTGAGAGCATTAAAGGAACTACCTTGGGAAGCCATTGTCGTGAAAGCTCCCAAGTCACCTCTCTAAACCTGTCCGCTCAGAGGAGAGAAAGGGTGGTCCCCTAACCCAGTGATCTCACTGTGTGCAGTGAGGCAGAACAAGCTGAGTTAGGGGGAAGAGGAGGGGACAGGGTCCCTGGAGAGCTGCAGTGTGGTGATTTTATTGTCCGTCCATCACCATGGATGGAAGAAGGGGGACGGCACACTGAAGATGAGGATGACAGTCCCTTTAAGTATTTGCAGTTCACTGGACTGGAATGTTCTCTATCTCTGCAAACCAGAGGATATTTCCAGGAAGGACTTGGAGAGCAGACAGGAGCGTCCCAACAAGTGATTGCTTATGTGGGGTAAATGATGGTGGAGGAACATGGCCCGAATATTGGCTCCGAGTTTGATGGGCCGTGTTCCTCTCAGTATTGACAACTTCCTTCCTGGCCTCCGGTCTGCCGGCGATGAGCCCGTGTTGTCTCAATTACCTTCTTGGCAGCGGCTGTGAACGGCCCGTCAACCAGGGAGCTGGGCAGTCAGTCTCAATTAGGCTGCCCCAGGCCTAACCGATGTTGTCAGAGCCCCCAATAAACCGATAAGATCAGAGACCCGAGCCAAGGCAGTTTAAAGACCGGTGATGGAGAGGGAGAGTGGAGAGAAAAACTGCTGTATGACAACCTCCCTAAGTTTTTCCTCCCCTACGTGTCCCGGCATGGAGTTTGCAGTGTGGCTTTTAAAAGGTTGCTCTGATTAGCTCACTCCATCCCCCTTGCCGCTGAAGACAGCTGTGTCCATTTGTGAAGGGTTGCTCAACAGGGAGAGGAAACGGAGGAGGAGGAGGAGAGTCCTGGATGGCCTGCACGGCCTCGCTCATGCTGCTCGCTCTGGGGCCCTTTCCAGAGAGGTTGGCAGAAGGCTGGACCTCGGCTCAGATGCTGTGTGCAGAATGAGATGGTGGCTGTAGGCACTGGCCCTCCATCCTGAGCCCACACAGGAGACCCTGTGTGTGTTCAAATGCAGAATGGGCTTGGCAGGGTGGCTTGGTGGGTCAAGCCCTTGCTGCTTAAGACGACCTGAGTTTTGATACTTGGTAGCTAAAACTTGCATAAAAAATAAGTGAGCAAATAAAATTTTTTAGAAAAAGGTGGAGCCTGGTAGAGGAAGACAGGACATCAACCTCTAGCCTCCACAGGCACAGGTGTGAAATGCAGACTGTGGGTATTGGGGAAATGCACCTCCCCAACTAGATACTGGGGTGCTGCAGGTTCAGGGGCTGCAAGTAGCCTTTAGGGGTTCACCAGGGACGTCTTTGTGTGGTCAGACACAGGTGAAATAAGCGAGTCACCTCTGGGCAGTTTCTCAGGCTGGCATGTTACAGCCAGCTGTAGAGCGTTCTGTACAGATGCAGAGTCCCCTGCTGTGGTGGGCTCGCTGCTTCTGTGCTTCTGACGGCTGGTGTTGGTGCTCTGAGGTGGTCAAGGGTGTGCCACATCAAGGGGTTTGATGGCATTCATGTGGCATGCAGCCATCCTGGGCCCGCCCTTTTTGGAAGAGAATGGTGGAAACTTTGAATGCCCTCCTGACACACAGTAGTAAGAGAAGTGCCTACATGATGGACTTGTGGTTGGGGTAAACTGAGTCAGTACTCATAAGCACTTGTAAGGCTTTAGGGCGGTGTCCACACATAGTAAGCACTATATATGTTTTTTTTATCAAATACAGTTTTACACATTGGGTGTCCCCCAAGAGGTGGTCTTTGACAGTGACAAATGGCACCAGGCAGTCAGCAGCATCAGGCTTTGGATGGCAGTGGAGGTGGTAGATTGGACTCCTTGGAGTTTTGTGCTCATCAATCGCTTCCTTCCAGGTCAAGCTGGTTAGCATCGATGCAGCAGAAATAGCGGATGGCAACCCCTCACTGGTTCTCGGGCTGATATGGAACATCATTCTCTTCTTCCAGGTAAGCCCGCTGCTCTCTGGCCCACAGTCGTCACATTGAACGTCGCTCTAACCACAGAGCAGCGTGCGCACAGCAAGGGACGCCATGAGACTTAGTTCCCATGGAGTCTCCATTTTCTGAATGAGAACCACGAAGTGAAGACTGGGGCTCGTGGTTTAGTGAAAAAGGCGAGCCACGAGGGGAAGGTTTAGAGGGGCTTTGGGGCCGGTGTGGCCCAGAAGTACTTACACCAGCACTGTATGGAGCTGTGGATCCCTTCCTGTGTAAGCCTTGAACTTGAGCCTCTGTCCCCACATCGGCGAATGCAACCGTGGTCACAAAATTCGCTGCGTATGAGAGTTTTGCCCACTGGACCGACTTCACACAGGACCCAGTCACTCTGTGACCTGGCTTCCTGAGAGATGCTGGGGACATCAGGAAATGTGTTAAATGCCTTAAATAGAGTCCAGAGCTTCCTTCACTTGTACATTAGATATCTGTTGAGTTTCTTCAGTATCGCAGATGCTAGAGAGACAGGGCTCTGTCTTCTTGGGGGAATCCCAAAGATACGTGGATTCCATATTGCTCTACAGTGGAGGTCACAACTGAGGTGTGAGCAGGGCTTTGTAAGAGCTCTAAGCAGGGACAACTACCACAAATGGGTGACCAGAATGAGGAAAACATACCCAAGGAAGTGACCAGAGCAGGGGTTTGAAGTGTGAACAGGAGTGTGCTCTGAGCAATGCTTCTCAGATGTACTATGCATATGAATTGCATGGGCATGGTGCTGAGATGCAGTCTAAATCTGTGGGGCAGGCCTGAGCTTCTCCATTCCTCACATGGACGCTGTGGTAACAGTTCAATGCTGGAGGAAAGGGACAGCCAGCCAGCAGGCCCAGAGTGAACAGGGACAGTGAAGCCTGAAGGAGCATGATGCATTCTGGGAGTGCCAGGTTATAGCGGAACAGAACAGACAGAGTCTGGTCAGGACGAGTGTGTGTGACTGGTGAGAGCTGCAGGGATCTCGGGAGAAGCTTCTCATATACTGAGAACCAGGTCTACACCAACCTAGACTCTCCACCCAGGGTCTCATGGATGCAGGTCAGAGGGACCATCTGGCCAGGAGTCCCTTGTGGGTCACTGGGTCTGATTTGCCCTTTTCTCTCTAGATAAAGGAGCTCACGGGCAACCTCAGCAGGAGTTCCCCATCTTCCAGCTTGTCACCTGGCTCGGGGGGCACAGACTCCGACTCCTCCTACCCACCCACCCCGACCACAGAGAGGAGTGTGGCGATATCAGTGAAAGACCAGAGGAAGGCCATCAAGACCCTGCTGGCGTGGGTGCAGAGGAAAACAAGGAAGTAAGCTGCAGTCTTCCCCCCTCCCCAACCTGTCCCCTGCCTTAGGCCCACTGCTGTCCACCATGGGCGTACCACACCCCACAAGACTGTTTCCATGTTTACACATGGACCCTGGTGGGGGCGGGGTAAGGCAGATCAAATTCTGTCTGCTAAGGTGCTAGGTGTCCATGGGCCCTGTGCTTTATATAAACCATCAGAACAGGGCTGTGATGTCCTATTCCAGTTCGTGTGTGGTGTGTGCATGTGAGTGTGTGGGGCACGCCCACACATGCACACACAGAGGCCAGAGCAAGCATCAGGTGTCTTCCTCTACAGCTCTCCATTTTATTCTCCTAAGACAAAGTCTCACACTAAATCAGAGGCGTACCATTTCTGCTAGGCTTGGCCAGCAAGCTCTTGGCACCTTCCTGTCTCTGCTCCCCAGGGATAGGCTTACATGCATGGACAGCTATGCCTGGATTGTTGTGTGGGTGCTGGGGATTCAAACTCAGGTGCCCAGGTTTGTGCAGTAAGCACTCTTACCATTTCATAGGCCCCGTTAAAGCAGCCTTCCATCAGTCCCTTTACTGGTGAACTTTGGGACATGGTCAGAGGTGCCAGGCTAGTGTAGATGAAGCCACACCCACTCGGGAACATCCCAGCTCTTCTGTGGACACCCTAGGGGGTAGTTGCTGGTGTTTCACTTACTTGTCCAAGCTTCCCCCTGGTACGTGGTGACATCATTCACTGCCTTCCAAGACAGTCATGACAGAATTTGGGAGAGCAGCTTGGGCCTCTCCTAACATCCACTTAATACATTTCTGCACACCTCCCAGGGGCTGGAAAGAGGCTAGACCTTTGGGGGATTGGTGGAGGGAGTTGAGTGTGAATGATTAGTAGATTACTGTGAAAAACCAAGAAATGTTTAAAAATAAATCAAACCAGAGAGTTCATTGCCAGGGGCCATGCGAGTGGGAAAGAGAGATGGCATCTGGGGGATGGGAGCGTTCTCTCTGTGGCCCCATTTGGGTACCCATGCGTCCCTGCACTTGGGCAAGTGCATGTGGCCCCTGGTGGCTTTGGCTTGGTTTACAGCCTTCCTAAAAATTGTCTAGATGTGACTGTTGGGGTCTCTGGCTTTGAGAATGTACTCTGATCAGGTCCCATGGGCCGAGGCTTGCAAGAGCTCTGCCTAGAGAGTTTGTAACCTGTTGGGAGTCTCCAGTTGTTTCTACATTGGAAGGTCTTAGATTTTTGTTAGTTCCATGAGCAGAATAAGACATGAAAGGATGGACTCTAAAGAGAACCCACACCTGGCATGATTCTCTTTGCCCCTCACTTTGAACGTTATGGTTTTAGGGCTGGGGGGACGGGTCAGTGGTTAAAACACTTGTTGGGTAGGCATGAGGACCAAAGTTCATATTTCCAGTGCCCACGGGCTTGGCAGCCCGTCTTTAATACCAGAGCTCAGAAGGCTGAGACAGAGGGATCCCCAGGGCAAGCCGGCTTAGCCAGAATAGCCATGTCAGTCTGCTCTGGGTTCAAGTAAGAGGCCTTGCCTCAGTGAATACAACAGAGAACAATTAAGAAAGACTCTCAGCCGGGCGGTGGTGGTGCACGCCTTTAATCCCAGCACTTGGGAGGCAGAGCCAGGTGGATCTCTGTGAGTTCAAGGCCAGCCTGGACTACCAAGTGAGTTCCAGGAAAGGCTACACAGAGAAACCCTGTCTCGAAAAACCAAAAGAAAGAAAGAAAGAAAGGAAGGAAGGAAGGAAGGAAGGAAGGAAGGAAGGAAGGAAGGAAGGAAGAAAGAAAGAAAGAAAGAAAGAAAGAAAGAAAGAAAGAAAGAAAGAAAGAAAGAAAGAAAGAAAGACTCTCTGATGTTGGTCTCCAGCTTCCACACATATGCACCTCCCCCCACCCCGCATGCAAACACACACACACACACACACACACACACACACATGCCTACCACGCATACATACACGTGTGGGGAAAAAAGTTGTGATTTTACATGTATCCATGATGCTGGTGGCTGACACTGACTGTGTGGCTTCTGTACTCTGCTTCACACACTGAGTTCACCTTTAGACGAGACCATTCCTGTGGGAACGTCACCCTTCCCCATTACAGCATCCCACCCTAACTTAAGTGCTAGAGGCTCAGAAAGGGTGTGTGCCTGGCCAAGGCCACAGAGCCAGAAGCACAGAGGGGCAGCTGGGATAGGAACTTGGATCTTTCTGGCTCTGCCTGTAACAGGGCACTTCCCCACATGTCCCTTTCTCATCATCATCTGTGATGTGTGAAGTGTAAAAATCTCTCCTTTATGTATTTAGAAACATAGGAACCAAGGGTCTTATTGACCTTTTGGATAATGTATACCTCCTGCTTCATTTGGAAAATTCTCAGGGTGGTCCTCCTGGTGGTCAGGGCTGGGGTGTCTTCACAGAGTGAGATGAACCTCACCCAGCCCCCTCCGGCCAGCGAGGATACTGTGTGCAGACCTCCTCTTCCAGTTCCTTTACTAACCTGGGTTGTTGCTGTCCCTGCTCCTTTCTGTCAGGTATGGCGTGGCAGTCCAGGACTTTGCAGGCAGCTGGAGGAGTGGGCTGGCTTTCCTGGCTGTCATCAAAGCCATTGACCCCAGCCTGGTGGACATGAAGCAGGCTCTGGAAGATTCCACCCGGGAGAATCTAGAGAGGGCCTTCAGGATTGCACACGATATCCTGCACATCCCCAGGCTCCTGGAGCCGGAAGGTACAGTGACCCTCTCTGTCCTTTTATTATTATTGTTATTACAAATATACCATCTGCTCTTCCAGGTAGAAAACTCAGAAAATAAAAATAAAAGCTTAATGAAGAAAAAAAATTATTTCCTATGTTATAGTCTTTTTTCTGTGCATCTAATTATAGTATTTTTACATAATTGGTATCATTTGGTATATGTATAATTTTGTCTCTTTCACTCATATATATATTAATATTTAGGTAGTATATTTCTATAATCTCCAGTTATATATTTATATTGCAGTATATACTACATATATTGCATAATAGTCCACCTGTAGACATACTAAACTTACCTAGCTCTTCCATATTTGAGTTACTGAGGTTATTTTAGAAATGATCTCTTTGAGGGCTGAAGGCATACCTCAGTGGCAAGTGTGAGGCCATGGCTTAGATCCCCAACTCTGTAGATGAAAGGAAGGAGGGAGAAAAGGAAAAGGAGGAGTGAGAGAGAAAGAAAAAGGGGAGGAGAGAAGGGAAGGTGTAGGATCATTTTTGAATATAGTATGACTGTAAACATCCTACTTACCCAGCATGCCTTTGACCATCCCTCAAGGACCAGCTCCCATCTGCACAATGTCAGAGTTAGGGGAGTACATTCCCTTCGAAGGTGTGTGACTCTGTTTTGTCACATTGCTCTCCACATTGGGTGATTAATTTTGTGACCCCCTGCAGCAGGTTGTCATGGTCACCAGATGTACTTATTCATGGAACCAGCAATGAGCTCACTGCTCACAGTGAAGTGAACCAAGACTCAAGGAAGGAGGGGCAAAATCCTGAGCCTAGGATCCCAGGGTTCTCCATCCTGCTTCCTCTGCCCTTCAGCTAGCTGTGGGACTTTAGTCAAAGGCATTGTCCCCTTCTCTGAGCCTAAATTTCTTCAAGGAGAAAAGGAAAGTCCTTTGCTGATGTGTGTGTCCCTTCCTCGCCAACCCCCTGCGGGTCCTATGGAGAAAGCATGTGCCTTTGCTAATGCTGTGTCTCTCTCAACAGACATCATGGTGGACATGCCGGATGAACAGTCCATTGTGACTTATGTGGCCCAGTTTCTAGAACGCTTTCCGGAGTTGGAACCTGTACGTTTCTTTCCCTTACCTTTAATTCACAAACTACGCACTGCATCATTCTGTGTGGTTGATGGCAACAAAGTGACCTCGAGTTCCTTGCTCTGTCTTAGTTTCTAAACCATCTGTGGCATACGTCAAGCTCCCAGGTGGGACAGAAAGCCCGCCACATCTCACCCAAACCTCTTCCCATTCCAAACTTGATAAAGGCGACAGAAGATGTTCCCTTGTCATCCAGACTTCACTCTTTAGATGCCCAGTGGAATAGCCCAGCAGTTCACCAAGTTTTACCAAGGCTCAAAATTATAATAGATAATGACTATTCAAAAGCATGCTTGTGGTGTGTGTGTGTGTGTGTGTGTGTGTGTGTGTGTGTGTGTGTGTGGTTTTTTTTGGGGGGGTTGAATTTTTGAGACAGGATCTCATGTCTCAAAATGTCATGTCTGGCCTTGAGCATGTGGCAATCCTCCTGCCTCATCCTCCTCACTCTGGGAATATAACTATGTGCCACTATTCTCTGACCACACCTTTTACCTTTTAGAACCCCAGGTAACATGTGAAAATAGGTTTGGGGCATGGAAGGAAGTCGTCATGGTTTCACTGAACACTTAACCCTGAGACAGTAGTAACAGTAAGAATAACACCCACAGCCTTTAGTGGAACCATCTTCCACTTACTGAATGCCTGGCACCAGCTCAGGGGACTCAGCAAGAAACTGGACTGGAGCTGGCCATAGCTTAGTGCTACGGCATTGGTTAGTGCTCACAAAGCCCTGGGTTTGGTCTCCAGTTAAGCAAAACTTAATTTAAAAAAGATTGGACAAAATCAGCTGGACAGATGAGGTGCCTAACGTGATGCAGCTTTGTTCTAGTAAAGAAGACAGTCAACACATGAGTAGATGCATCGGAATTCCCAGCAGATTCAAGTGACTGGTAGAAAAAAAAAAAATGCACACGTGAAGAAATAAACACTGCCAGGGAACAGGGACCCACCCTCTTGTCACTGGAGACTGTCTGCAGCTGTCATTCCTACAGTCCTGTGTGGTTCTCCACCATTATCCTCTTTTTACAGATGGGAATACCACCGCCCAAAGAGACCTGAAGGTCTTTCCAGGGTCACACAGCCATCTAATACCGGACTGCGGCTGACTCCAGAGCTCTGGGTCTCCAAAGTTCACCTTCTTGGGTCTCTTAAAAATACCACTGAGGCTGGAGCCTTATTTTACACAGCAGTGACTCCCAGTGGCCCTCCAAGCTGTGGGTTAGATTAGTGCCTGAAATGTGTGTGTGGTTCCACTCCTTCCGGCACCATGGTGTTTTGAAGAGGAGTTTCTGGGATGCCACTTGAAGCTCTGTGAGCCTAGGCGGCTTCCTTAGCCTCTCTGACAGCTGTATCTGATACTCTCTAAAGTGGAAAGCATCACCCACATTTCAGGCTTGTGCAAAAAGTAACTACCTGTGTGAAGAACCCAGTTTTGCCTGTGGCTCAGAATGAACATTCAGCAAGAGGTGGTGGCAGTAATTGCTAGAGAGTTCTGTTTGGGGGGGTATTAGGTAGCAGGGTTTTCACCAGGCCTGAGCTCCTAATCCAGAGGCAGAATCTAATAACAATTGAAACAGTGGTTCTCAACCTTTAATACAGTTCCTCATGTTGTAATGACCCCCAACCATAAAGTTATTTTCATTGCTGCTTCATAACTGTAATTTTGCTACAATTATGAATCATAATGTTAATATTTCTGGAGATAGAGGTTTGTCAAAAGGGTTGTTGAGAACCACAGGTTGAGAACCACTGAATTGAAAGTTGATGGTAAATGGTATGATTCAAGGTCATGGTCAAGATTCAGCAAACCTAAGTGTGGCTTCTCCAGGACTGGGAGTAGAGAGATTAAGGAGGACATGATGGCTGGGGCAAGGGTCTTGGTTCACACAGAACAGCCTGTTTCATCCTGGGGTGTGTGGGATACATTCTTTTGTGTTAGTAATTTTACTTTCTTAGTCTTTAGTATTTTTGTGGGGTTGTTTGTTTGTTTGTTTGTTTTGTTTGTTTGTTTTGTTTTTTCCCTAAGTAGTCAGTAGGAATAGGCTTTTAAAGATAACTGTAAAATATATTTTATTGTTATTTTGTTGTTGTTGTTGTTGTTGTTGTTGTTGTATACATTGTAGGGGAGGGTCAGGGGTCTGTACATGCAGGGTGAGTACATGGAGGTCAGGGGACAGCTTGTGGGAGTGGATGGGACTGAGGTTCTCAGGCTTACATGGCAAGTGCCTTTACCCTTGGAGAGAGCTTTCTATCTCCTCTTCAAGTCCAGGCTTCTATCTGCGATCGCTTCCACAGAATGTCTTTTGTATATTTTGTAGTTTAGATTGGTTATTCTAGAGCCTTCTTTTTTGTAATTCCAACCCTGAGTCATAGGTAGGTCTACTTTTGGTAATTGTTGTTTCCCTTGTTTATGGGCTTCATTCTCCTGCTTTCTCATTTCCTGAATGTTGTTTTCTTTTGTGGCAGAGACAGTATGCAAAGTAAGAGTAGCAACTGAGGTAGATGGCTTTCTTTTTCTATGTGTATCTGTCTTCTATTGCTACAACAAGATACCAGATGCTAGATAACATATAAAGAAGAGAGATCTAGGGCTGGAGAGATGGCTCGGCAGTTAAGTGCACTTGCTGCTCTTACAAAGGACCCAAGTTTAGTTCCCAGCACCCGCATGACAACTCTCAACCATCTGTCACCCTCTCTGCCTCTGTAGGCACCTGGCACACACATGGTTGACATATATATGTAGAGGCAAAAATATACACATAAAATAAAAATAAATAAACCGAGAGAGCGAGAGAGAGAGAAAGAGAGAGAGAGAGGGAGAGAGAGAGAGAGAGAGAGAGAGAGAGAGAGAGAGAGAGGAGAGAGAGAGATTTGACTCAGCATTGAATGTTTGTGTTAGCACTAGCACCTTCTAGAAAGGACCTCATGGGCATTACAGTCAACGTTTATGTGAGACAGAGTGGTTACAGAGCAAGACAGGAAGCCAGAGAATCACTTGGCTCTTCACTCTGAAAACAATTCCCTCTGTAATGAACTGGTGACCTATGAGAAGTATGTCAGTTCCTTCTGAGGCTAGAACTTCCTGTGGCCCAATCACCTTGCACTAGGCCTCTCCCTTTAAAGGTCCCTCCATGCTTTCTGCAGCCACCTTAGGTACCAAGCGTCTAACACATGAGTCCTTGGGAAATACAACCAAGCAGAGGATATAGCCCCTTCCTGAACCCAAGTTGGGAGTTGCTTGTTCTGACCATTTCAGGAACCTAGAGGCATGTTGATGCTAGTTTCTGCCATCTGGCTTCAGATGGTGAGGGTGACATCAGTCCGCTCCATCATTGCACTCACTGGAAGCCCAGCCGGCCCTGACTTATGCCCTGCCTCTCAGCACTGCCTGGGCTCTTGCACTGAAGACACCCCTGGGTAGAACCACGAGGCTCTGATGAGAGTTGCTGTTGTACTGCCTCCAACTTCAGGCTTTTGTAGTGACCCACATGGTCAGTAAGAACATGGCTGGTCCCTCCTCACCTCAGGCAGGCTAGCTCCCTCACTGGCAGGGTCCACAGGAGTGAAGCAGCTGAGGTACTGCTCACTGAGGTACATTGAACACCCCATTGAGTGCGTTGATAATCTCTTTGCACCCATAGTTTTGGGGGGAAAAACATATTTCACATTTTTATTTACCTGGCAATTTTTGCATCTCAGCAGGACAGCAGTTGACATCACCATGAAAACTCTGGCTGAAGTGGCTTTTGTTGTTGTTGTTGTTGTTGTTTGGGTTTGGAAGTTGTACTTGAAGGTGGAACCTGTGATTTCATGTTGTCTTGTGTTTCTCAGCAGGAAGATTTTGTGAATCCAGACAAAGAAGCCCCCATCGAGTCCACCTTTGTCCGAATCAAAGAAAGCCCTTCTGAACAAGAAAGCCGAGTCCTCCTCCTCAGTGAGAACGGAGAGCGGGCCTACACTATCAACCATGAAAGCAGCCACCCACCACCTGCCAAAGTCTTCGTCTGTGACCAGCCCGAGAGCACCAAGGGTTTCTGTCTGGGTGGTATGCCCAGCCGTGATCTGTCAGACAGCGCCACTGAGTTCATGCACCAGATCATTGACCAAGTCCTTCAGGAGAGCCCAGGGAAGACCAATGAGCCAGCGCCAGAGTCTTCCATCTTATCAACCAGAAAGGATGGCCGGAGGTCTAACTCTTTGCCAATCAAGAAATCCGTCCACTTTGAGGCTGATTTGCACAAGGATGCCTCGTGTAGCAAAGACCCTTTCTACAGCTCAGACTTCCGCTTTGAGGGGAGCCCAAGGGCGGCAAAGGAGGTGTCGAAGCCTGATAGCTATGTCTCGGTGGTTGAGGTTGCCAAGGAAAAGAAGACAGAACAGGAAGCCAGGCCAGCGCAGGAAGCTGCCTCAGACAAGGGCCCTAGAGACACTGTTGGTGTGGATGGCATGCCCCACCACAGTCAGCCTCCCCAGGACCCCACATTCTGTAACGGCACTGTAGAGGGTCCAGCTAGCCAAGGTGAGAAAGGCCCTTCTTCTGCATCCCCTGGAGATCATACTATCCTGGCCAACTCCACTGAGCTCAAGGTTCAGCTGCTGACTGTCGAGCCTATGGATAAAGATGACTATTTTGAAGGCATCCCCCTGAAGGCTTCCAAGTTTAACAGGGACCTTGCAGATTTTGCTTCCACTAGCCAGGCTTTTAGTGAGGAGCCATCACCCCGTGAGAAGACACTTGAGGAGGAGGAGGGTTTTGAGAATTATGCTGAGAAACTGGGGAAAAAGAAGTCAAAGTCTCCCCATGCAGAGACAGAGTCCCCTGAGTCCCAAGCCGAGCCTGACAAACATGAGTCTCCTCCCAAGGGCCCCGAACAAGAAGATCAGGACCATCCTTTGCCCCCAGAAGAAACACCAGCAGATAAGAAACCCGAAGTGTTTGAAAAGGCCAAGAGAAAGTCCACCCGGCATCGCAGCGAGGAAGAAGGAGAAGCAGAAGACCTCTCCGGGGTCGGGGGAGAAATGCCATCCAACCCTCCGAGTACCAGTGTCAGCCTGGAAACCCTCAGGAGTCACAGCGAAGAAGGGTTGGATTTCAAGCCTTCTCCACCACTCTCGAAGATCTCCGTCATCCCGCACGACCTGTTCTATTACCCGCACTACGAGGTGCCCCTGGCCGCAGTGCTGGAGGCTTACTCGGAAGGTGGGGAGGATTTGAAAAATGAAGATGCCGATCTAGGGGAGCCAGAAGAGGGCTATCTGCAGGATTCCAGGGAGGAGGAGGAGGAGGCCCACAGCTCCCAAAGCAGCTGCAGTTTCTCCTTGCCTGTTGACAATGGCCACCCCAGCGTTAGTGACCAGGTGTCCCAAGTTGATGAGAATTCTGAGGGGCCCACGTCAGCCTCAGGAACTGGTTCATCACCCTCCCCCGAGGACCACCAACAGAGGGAAACCAAAGAGAATGGCCCTGTGGAGAGCCAGCAGGTACTTGAGGTTTGGGAACTCAGAGCTTCTCCCTCTGTAAACCTTCCCTTACAGAACCTAGAAGGCATAGAATTTAATGTCCTTCCAGAAGGCTCCAGCAAGTACTGGGGGTGGGGGTGGGGGGACGACGGGGACGGGATGGGGGACTTAGCACCCAGGCAAAATTATCTTAACCCAGTCCACACCCTACTCAGAAGTCTTCTTAGGATGAATGAGATTGTGTGTGAGGGCCTTAGCAGAGTAGCTATGATGATCATATAAAAGCAGCTGTTAACAGTAAACTATCAGGTCATCTCCTGTGGCCACCTGGGAAACAGGGCAAACTCACGTTGGTTTCCGGCATGCTTCTTAGAAGCCTTGGCTGTGTCAGGCCGTGTTCTTGGTTCCTCTGACTTGCTAGGGATCGTGTAGACAGGAAAGGGGACACTCACTCTAAGCTCAAGCAGCTGAGCACACACTTGTCAGCCTCTTGTGTTTCTGTTCTTATCTAGCCAGTGGCTCAAGAGGGGATGAGAGGGGACAGGTGCACAGAGTCCTGGCCTGACGCCCCGGGGACATAGGAATACCTTGCAGCCCTGGGAATCCTGGAGGGGAGAAGCGGGGAGGCGCGGGGGTGGGATGGGGTGGGGGGTTGTTCAAGCCGCCCTGCTAGGATGCAGAGACAAGAGAAGTACCTGCGCTTAGCTCTAGCCGTTCACCTGCCTGTTAGCTCAGCAATGGTTCTCAACCTGTGGGTCGCGACCTCAAAAATATCCCTATCCTGCAAATCAGGTATTTACATTACAATTCATAACAGTAGCAAAATTACAGTTATGAAGTAGCAACAAAATAATTTTACGGTTGAGTTCACCACCGCATGAGGCGCTGTTTTAAAAGGGTCGCGGCATTAGGAAGGCTGAGAAGCACTCACTGGCTCAGCCCTTTGGAAGGAGCATCCTGACCAGCATCCTAGCAAAGTGAGGGCAAAAAGGGAGGTGTGCCAGCCTCCCTAGTGCGGTGGATGCCGAGAATGTGGCATCAAATGTGGAGGTGGGCCTGCAAAGGGTTCCATGGAGGGAAATTCCTCAGACCCAGAGAGGCTGGAGGGTGTGGGAGAGCTGCTGGGTGGGGGACATTCCCTGAGTGCCAGAATCCGGCTAGGAATGGAACCGGCTTATTCCAGATCAGCTCCGTCTCTTTCTTCAGCTCCTCCTCAGTGTTTCACCTCTTATCCCTCCCAATGAAGTCCTGAACTGCCTCACAGAGGGGTGACCCTAAACCCCAATTGTCATCTCATTTTCCCCTACTCCCACCTCCTTAGCATGACCTTTGACACTCTTTCCTCTCCCACCTAACTGTCCAGCCGTCTCTGCCTTCCTTCCAGCAAATCCAGCTTCTCCTGGTTCCCAGAGAACCATGCCCTGAGTTATAAAAATTCCCAGCATTTAACAAGTGGTCATTTGCCCTTCAGAGCTCTGTACCAAGGTCACCTCTTCCCGGCTCCTGCCTAACAGAGATCTTGCTGCCTTAGCTGGGGCCAACCACACTGGCTGTTCTTTCCTGTTTGCATGTTTGTTTGTTTTTTTCCCCATCCCAAGAGTAAGTAGGCATCTGTATATTCATCCTTGGACTCTAGAGACCAGTGCGGTGCCTGACAGGGTCTGCCAAGTGCAGGGGTCAAGTGCGTATTGCTTTGGGAATGAAACAGGAAGATAAACAGGGAGACATGGGTAGGCTCATGAGAGGGGTACTGGGAGGGCCAAGAAAGCCTTGCACTCTGGGGGTGGGGAGGGCTGCAGGCAAGGGAGTCTGGGGAGCCCTTGGAGATGCTTAGGATTGAGATGGCACGCAGCCATCGTCAGAGCTTGCGCCATGGTTCAGTTTGCCAATCCGGAACAATGGGGAGGATTGTCAGTCCTTCGCCACGAATGGCTGATTTGGGACAGGGCAGGGAGCAATCTGCTCAACAGTGGGTTGTAAGGCAGATCTGGAGAAGAGGACTGGTGGTTCCAGGGGTGCCAGACACAGCTGTCTCCTTCCCCTGGTGTTGAGAGCAACTCCATCCACACACTTCTTTGTGGACTATTCCTTTACACTGTGTGACTATGTATCGCTGTGATTGGGTTAATAAAGAAGCTGATTGGCCAATAGCTGGGCAGGTAGAGGTTAGGCAGGACCTGCAGACAAAAAGAGAGCCCAGTGAAGAAGAGTTGGAGAAGCATGAGGACATTCGGAGAGAAGGGGATAAACCTGATGTGGGCTGCCAGTTCTACCCGACAGTGCGTCCTGTGGGAAACTGTCAGAAGCCAGCAGGGGTGGCCATGACCTTCAATGAGATCAGATCTGATGTCTAAGCTGGAGATATGAAGTACAACTGGAGTGATTCTCCAGGGGACGAAAGGCTGAGTAGGTGGACGAGAATGCAAGTTACATCCTGGCCTTGGCCGAGCAGCTAATGCAAATGCAAGTCTGGCCCTTCATTCTTGTTTGTTTGGTTGTGACAGGCTCTCATGTACCCCAGGCTAGCCTCAAACCCACTCTGTAGCCAAGAATGACCTTGAACGTCTGATCCTCCTGTTTTCACCTCTAAGTACCAACCACTATGGCAGGTTTGTGCTGTGCTGGGGATAGAACCAAGGGCGTTTTCCATGCTGGGCAAGCTCTCCATTAACAGAGCCACATCCTCAGTGCCCGGCCCTTCATTTTTATAGGCTTTCTGCCAGTAGTTACCGAAATTAGATTGAGCACCTGCTGTGTGCAGAGTGGATAGTTAGGGGTAGTTGGGGCAGCCCTGGGTTGGAATCATATGATCATTCAGAAGATTTAGAATCTCATCCTGCCCCAAGACTTACTGGTGGCCAGCAGGGGTGGGGTGTAGGGGGGGCAGGTCAGGCTTCCTTCCCCAGCTCTGAGCACAGCCTCCCTGCATCCAGAGGGAGCAATATTGACGCAGCTCACATTATGGCTCTGACCCATGGCTTTGTTTGCCTGCTGCTTCTAACCCCGCTTGGCACTTCGATCCCCAAGTACAGCCCCTTACTTCAGCCTGGAGGTGTGCAAAGTCCGTGGGGTGGAGAGCGCCGAGTCTGTCTCCTACCAGACAAGGGGTGATACCTGGTCCTCCTTTCAAAAAGAAAAGGAAAGACTAGCTGAGCAAGCCAAAGACTGGAAAATGGCAAGTTTTTTCTTGTTCTGATCATTAAAAAAATAAAATAATGGGCTGGAGAGATGGCTCAGAGGTTAAGAACACTGGCTATTCTTCCAGAGGTCCTGAGTTCAATTCCCAGCACCCATATCGTGACTCACAACCATCTGTAATGAGATCTGGCCTGCAGGATACATACAAACAGAACACTGTATAATGTGTGTGTATATATATATATGTATATATATATATATATATATACACACACATATATATACGTATATATACACACACATATATATACGTATATATACACACACATATATATACGTATATATACACACACACATATATATATATACTATATAATAAATAAATCTTTAAAAAAAATAAAATAACATGAGTAAAATCCTCTCATCATTTCCTCTCTAGGAAAGGTCCCTGCTAAGTCATGAAGGACCCTGGTCTCATGTGGCTAAGGGCACTTTCAGTTCCTACCTTGAACTTTGTTCAGGGCAGCTGGCCTGGCCTCCAAACCCCTTACCTGGCCCCTGGTGAGGAGGTTCTCCCTGCTGCCCCCAACTTCTAGATTTCAATGGGGGCGTGGCTGATGGGTAACAGGTGCTCAGTGTGACAGTGGCTAGAAGGTCCCCTTTCCAGTAAATACCGGATGTAGCCCTGTGATCCCTTCCCCCAGACGCACGGTGTCAGTGTCCTGCCCCAGACTCTGCATTTGCTCGTGTGTGTCCCTCTGCAGGCCCATAGAGCACCTTTGCACTGGGCCACCTGAAAGTTCAGCCATTGCCTGCTATAAGGGATAGCCTTCGAAGGATCGTGCTGAAGAGGGAAGAGGCTGAGGGTGACTGTACCCATCTGACAGCTGGAAAAGCGAGGCTCAAAGAGAGACAGCCAGTGGCTTAAGGTCAAGTAGCTGAGTCAGGCAGGATTTCATATCACTGAGCTTCCTGACTCCAGAACTCCATGCCTTCTCTCCATTGATTCGTGGCCTTTGATCTCTGCACAAGGAGCAGAATTTGGGTCTGGGCTTCTCTCCTGGGCTGTCCACGTTGGAAGGAGTTCGGAAGATAAACAGCATTGGAAGGGATACTGGCCGGATTGGAGTAGAGCCCGGAGAATGGTGTCATCTACTTCAGTAGGGAATTTGACCTGTGTTTTGGCTCTTTTGTGTTCTAGCCCCAAGAACCTCCAAACCTGGAACTCCCCACAAAACCAATAGAAGAAAAGTTAACGGAAGCCTCAACTAGCAGTAAAAAGAAAGAAAAAAGGAAACATGTGGACCAAGTAGAAAGCTCATTATTTATAGCCCCTGGGACTGTCCGCTCCTCAGATGACCTTGAAGAAAACCCCTGTGAACACAAGATCCCATCCAGGTATGTCGCTAAGATCTTCTCACTTTAGAAACTGAGGCAAGGACTTACTCTCTCAGGGTGAAGGAGCATCTTGGGTAGACAGTGCATCAGTGGAGGGCGCAAGCAAAGCCCAAGCCATGGATATTGGCCGAGGAGAACAAGAAAATGTCTGTGTCCGTGGGCATGAGGTCTGATTGGCTACACCCTACACAGAGTCTGGTCACTGAGCACTTACCTCCTGGGTCCTGCTTCCCATCTGGCTCAGGCACATTGCGGTTAAGGCTGCTGTGGTACGAGTAGACCTAGTTAGCACAGAGAACTCCAAAGCTCCATGGTCAGCAGGCAGTACTGAAGTGAGCTCGTTTATGTGAGGGAATCCTGGCGTCTCTACCTGCTGGCCCCAGGGTAAACAGAACTTTCGGGAGGTTGATCCCTGGCTTGAGGTTACAGAGTGGGACCACTCTGTGTGCCTCTCCGCTATACATACTTTTCTGGTTTCAGCTCAGCCAGACTCCCTGCATAGCTTTCCACTGGCCTGGGAACCCACAGGACCGACGTGATCATTCATGCTTATGCCACACACCTCTGGCCCTGGCCATCTACCCTCAGTTGGGTTCATACTTTGCTTTAGGCTCCTTCGAACTGAAGGGCTGTCACTCTGCATTCAACTCTGTTCCCTGGGTCACTCCACCTCAGCCTCTGGGGGCAACTCCATTACACCTCCTCCAAACAGGTGTCTCGGCTTTCCCACAGGTTATTTTTGATATGTTCTTGTACCGTAGTATCTTCTTTTTTTTTTTTCCTTCACAGAACAGTCATTTCTTTCCTGTAAAATTTTTGGCAGCACTGGGGATTGAATTCATAGCCTCATGCATGCTAGGCAAGTGAACTAGGCTACCACAGAACTACTTCCCCAGCCCTCTTTTGGCTTTTTATTTTGAGGAAGTGTCTTAAATTGCCGAGGCTGGCTTTGAACTCACTCTGTAGCCCAGGCAAAGGCAAGGCATGGAGTTCACTTTAGCACGTCCCTGGCTTGCAGTGGGCACTCAGTTCTTTGGGTAGATGAATGCATGGACGGCTGTGCCTCCCCTGTCTTCTAGAAGTCAGGAGATGGGTCCTCAGCACCTGATTGCTGGGACAGTGAAGGTCAAAGTTCACACTCACTATAAGGCTCACATTGGCAGACTGTAATGTAAGAATGCCTGAGAGAAACCTTGCTGCAGCAAAGCAGAGAGAGAGAGAGAGAGAGAGAGAGAGAGAGAGAGAGAGAGAGAGAGAGAGAGATCGTTCCCTCCCACCAGGAATGTGCTTTTGAGTTAGGAAGCATTACCCACACACGAGGCCGAGAAGGGGGTTCCACAGCACCCAGCACTGCACCCTGGAGGATCAGGTCACTCTGGACACTGCCGAGATCTGGGCCCCAGGGTCCCTTTGGACTCTGAGGTTGCATTTTGCTTCATGCCTGTGCTGTGGTAGCAATGAGGACTATGCCACACTACCTAGAGGGAAAGATACCAAAGCTGCCTTCCAGGGACTTTCTGAGAATGTGTACGTAGGCCAAGTGCCAGGCTTCCGCAAGCCATGTAGTGAGCTTGTTTAAAGGACACTGAGGTGACTCTGTGTCAAGGTACATAGCACCCACCAGATACCTAGTTCTGCTGGGCAGTAAGCCAGGACCCAAGGCATCCTGAAGCTGATGGGGTGATCTATTCTACAGAGGGATGTCAGTTACCAACTAGCATTGACAGCTCTTAGCCAGGAGCCACTGTTGATGGCCCAGGATTCTTCTGCCTCCACTTTTGGGGTGTCAGCTCTGCTCGAAAGACCAAGGGGCATTCCATGTTGGCCTCAAAGATTTGGTGATAAAATCAGTCTCATGTATGAAAGGAAAAATGACGGTATTTCCTAGGGCTTGATTGGCAGGAAGTAGCCACACAGGAAAGAACAGCAGAGGGAATAACTTCCAGGCCTTGGGTCCAGACCTGCCCTTAACCTGCAGGGGACTGCAGGTGAGGCCCCAAACCTCAGGATGTTTGTATATAAAGACCCCAGTCCTGGCCCAAAATTCTAGGATTTTAGAAATACACTTTCTATTAAAAACCCTGATTTGCATTTTGGTGTAGATGAGGGCCCAGTGTCTGTGGCCACACCTGGCTGTGTGTTTCAATGGTATGGATGCATAGGTACAAACCATCTCGGGGTCTGAAGCCACAACTGTGCTTAACCCCGCCGTGGAAAGCCCCGGGCTGGGGTAACTTGAGTGACTGTGTGACTGGACCACTTGGGCTCTGGGCGGTGCCCATTCAAAATGTGTCTTTGCTTTTCAGGAATAGCCACAGTGACTCCAGCATTTACATTCGGCGACATGCTAATAGGTCTTTGGAATTGGTTAGTATGTGACTTTCTTCTTCCCTATGGCCCCTGCTAATCAGTACTTTTCGGTCCGTCCTCCCTCTCCCGTCCCTGAGCTCTGGGATTATTGACCTGCACCAACCTTACACTGGGATAGAAGACAGACACACTTAACAAACTTGTTAAGCACAGTCCAATTGGATATCCAGTTGGGGCGAGAAGGGGTGTAAATAAAGCATTGATTTCAAAGCCCAAAGGCCTCTTTGTCATAAAAAAACAAAAACCAAAACAAACGGACCCAAGACACTTCCCCAACCCTACACCCACATCTAGAAAGATCACAGTTAAACCAAGGGTGCCCAGTCACTAGAGGATCCTTGTGACATGGGCAAGTGTTGAGACCTGCAGTGGCCCTTACTTCAGAGCCTGTCTAGGTGGTGGGCGGGCCTCTTCCCAGTCACCCTCGGGCAGGGGGGCAAGGGCGGGAGGCAGGGTGGTCTCTCTTGTTTAGCAATTTGATTTTTGAAACTAGATGTCTGCAGTATCGAGAAAAGCGTGGCATGGTCGGCTTTGTAAGCTTAAAACCACCTTGTTTTCTGTTTCAGAGATTTCATCTTTACTAATTGGGTTGCGGGGTTTTGTTTATAAATTTCACTGTAGGACCATTTTAGCTATGTTCAATTGAGGAACGCAGCCGATCTGGATGAGAGGAGAAACAGAGTGCTAAACAGGTTGGTGGCTTCATTCCCTAAGTCTGGGGTATAAATATATATGTGCTAAACAAATATACGTCTTTGTTTAAATGGTGTGTGTATGTGTGTGTGTGTGTGTGTGTGTGTGTGTGTGTGTGTGTGTGTGTGTGTGTGTGTGTGTCCTGTCTCACAGGGGCTATTATTATTATTATTATTATTGCTTATTTATCATGTTGCTAATAATTTGGGAAAATACCAGGAAATAACTCTTCCAAATGAAATGAATCAGGTTAGATCTTCTTGAGTATGGGCAGAGGGGCAGAGCAGAGCCCAGAATGTGTGAGTGGGAAGGTGGGTCTGGGTTCTGAGTCTGCGGCTGTGCTTGGCAAAGACTTCAGAGCTAGAAGCCAGGTGCCAGAGGCAGAGCTGTACGGTCCCATCCTGTATGTAGCACCTGACCCTGTGTCCTTTCTGTCCCACTGCAGGTACAATTCTCAGAAGCTCACTGAGCTGATTTTACAGTTTTACGGCATCAGAGCAGACATGAAGAGGGAAAGCAAACATGCCAGGCTGTCTATGAAAGTATTCATTGCTGGTGGAGAACTAGATTCCCTAGTTGATAGTCCTCAAGTTACCGTAAACCAGTCCACCTAGAACCTGAGGGATGAGAATAGACTCTCTCTTGTTCTGACGTGGCCTTACCCCTCTTAAAGTCACAGAAGTACTTTATTGTATCGCCCCACCCCGTGGGTTTGCATGGGCTTGGAAAAATTAGATGATGGGATTGGTAGTCTCTGCCCAACGCCTTGGAACAGGGACTTTAGACCTCCATTCTTTTGGCTCCTAAAAACAAATACAAGTGAGGTACCCTGCTTCCTTCCCAGGCCTAAAATAGAAATGCTAATTTCAATTTCCTCCCAAGGGAGCTTTCAGCTAGGGAGAGAGCACTTGTAGCTTTGATCAGGTAGGGCTCTGATAGAAACAAGAACTTGACATATGCAGGAGTGTTTCCTACCTCCAGCAACAAATAGTTTCCATTTTTCCTACAGACAACTTTAAGCCCGAGAAATTCTGCCCAATGTCTGCTATTCAGGCATAAACCGCTCTATTGCAGATGTCACAGCTCAGCCATCACTTGTTGGGAGATGGTCTGGGCTTCTCATAGCCCCCATCCAAGGCCTGGAAATGGCCCCGAGAAGCTCATATTTCAGGCTTCTGTGTATCGGCCCCCCCACCCCTCCTACCCTCCCCTGGGTACATTTGGGTCTGCGGTTTGGTTTTTTTCCCACCACCCACACTCTCGGGCTAGCACCCTGTTCATTACCTGCCAGGCAAAAGCAAAATGGCGCGTTCAACGCTGCCTCCCACTACATAAAAGAAAGGTAACTCTGACCCCAAACCAAAGCTAGCTAGTTCTTCTGAAGGTAATACTTCAGACTCAACTTGGGGCGACTTGGTTTGTTTCTGGTGGCTGCTTTGAAATCATCTGTCAATGTTCCTTTGCTAACTGAGGCATAGCTGAGAGCTGGTAGTCCTCCCTCCTCCTTCCAAGGTTTCCCAGGAGATGGGGCTCGGGAGTAGCTCTGTCACAAAGTAATTGTGTGGCCTGTGACAACTGCGGCCCCCAAACTGTCACTGCAGCCATCTGTGAAATGGGCCCACATAGTTCCTTCTGTTAAGGGTCATGGAGATGGCTGGGGTCTGTGTGGGTGTTCCAAGGGCTGCCTGGAATGTACACACAGTTGGGAACCTCCTGATGTATCCTGGGAACCTTCATCTGCAGGTGGGAAGGTTGGGTTGAGCTTCAGGATGTGGTCCTCCCTCGTAGGGACCCCACCAGTGACCGTCCTGTCCCCCTATCTTTCCCTCTGCAGGACTGGCACCAACTCCTCTGGAGAAGCTGTGCCCCTGGGAAGCCAGAGCCCGCCCAATGACTCTCTGACACAGTTCGTACAGCAGCCCGACGTGATATATTTCATTCTTTTCCTCTGGCTCCTGGTCTACTGCTTGCTGCTCTTCCCCCAGCTTGATGTCAGCCGGCTCTGAAACGTGTGTCTGGAGAATAAAAGACAGGACCCTGACCAGGGTGGAGTCTGCCTCCTGCATCTTACTGTCTGTTCAGGGTTGAGCCACTTCTGCAGAGATGGAAGACCTCAGAGGGAACACAGGCCCCCACCTCCTGTTGCTGTCTGGTTCAGTCTTTGCTCACATGTCCCCTCGATTCTCTAAGACTTGAGAGCATGCTGACCTCCCTGACTGTGTGCTCCGAGCTCAGGTTTGAGGCTGGATCTGCGGACAGGATTCCTCCTTATGTGCCTTGTTTGATCAGATGCGAGTCCTTACGAATGTGTACTCCAAACCCGGGTCTTGGCATGTGAACGTGCAGGTGTCTAAGCTCCTAATGAGCTTAAGTTACTTACTTTTATCTCAGGGGAGGTTCTGCCTGATTTCAAGAAAGAACGGAGTCATACTAGGAAGAAAAGTGCCCTGTTCTCCTCTATGTGTGAGTGTTTGAGTGAAGGTGATACAGCTCCCATGAACCTGTCCCAGCCTGATGACCCATTGTGTTCACTGAGGGAGTTCAACAGCACACCTGCCTGCTCCCCAGCAATTACACCTGGGCATTGGCAGGCTCCAGAGAAGAGGGCGCTCTGCCAGCTTTGTTGTGGGCCACGGCACATTCTTTCGCCTTGGCTTTCTTGGAGGGTTGCACTTTTAATTCACTTTTGCATTGATTGGCTCGAGGTAGAGCTGTAATTTTCAAACCTTCTCCACCAGGAGGACCTCCCATCAGATGAAAGAAGAAAAGGGGTCAGTCTAGATTTGCATTGGAAGCCAGGCTCTGGCTGACTGGGATAGCCCTAAGACCGCCTCGTATTCTGTTGAGTTTTCTGTCCAGAATCTGAAGTCCTTATGGGGCAGCATAAGGAGCCCCAGGGTCCTGGAAGTGTCTGGGTCAGAATAAGCTCCCATGAATGGTGGAACTGGAAGGGATTCTGCAGGTTTCTGGGCTCAGGATGCACACCTTGGCACCAGCATCCTTGGCGGTCAACCATAACAGAGATCTTGAAAAGGTTTCTGGAAAGTACCAGTGCGTAGGCCAGGGCAGGCAGCTTGTGAAGAGAATGGTTTCTTTCTTCACCCTCCTATTGCCCTCACCTCTGCCCCAGAGTCCTCTGCCCTCTCCTCTGTGCAAAGGTTCGGGTCTGCAAAGACTCTAAGTTCCTCCTCTCCTCATCATCCCTCTCAAAAAACACATACTAGGCAGCCCTCATAAAGCAGTAAACTGAGCCGGGCGGTGGTGGCGCACACCTTTAATTCCAGCACTGGGGAGGCAGAGGCAGGCGGATCTCTGTGAGTGTGAGGTCAGCCAGGGCTACACAGAGAAACCCTGTCTCGAAAAACCAGGAAAAACAAACAAACAAAAACAAAACCATAAACTGTTCGTCAGGAGGAAGGGGTCCCAGGGAATATCTTGTTTAGCTGAACTCAGAGAGGCAGAGCAGGCTGTCAAGAGCTACGTCACACAGCCTACCAGAAACAGACTGGCCATGAGTTCCCAGGCCACGTGACCCCCATTCCAGAACTGTTGCTTTTTTGTAGAAGACTTGCAACCAGGTACACAAGCGTCCTGAAAAACCTAAGTAAAATGTCCTCACTCAAAGCCATCATTTTTAGGCCATTTATCTAACCTTCAAGCTTATCCTTAGCTCCTTCTAGAATGTTCTGGACAACGGTAAAGGCTGGTGTGCCGCTTGCTTCTCTTGTTGCTGTGACAGAAGAACTGACAGAAACAGCTGAAGAAAGGGGGGTTGGGGGCTCACGGTTCCAGGATAACCGTCGATGATAAAGGGGGGGGGGGTCATAGCAGTGGCTGCTCACATTGTACTCACAGTCAGGAAGCAGCAAGAGATGAACGCTGGTGCTCAGCTCACTTTCTCCTTTTTTGTTCAGTTTGGGCCCCCACAGCCCATGAAATGGTGCTGACCACATTCAAGGTGGGTCTTGTCTCTTTGGTTAAGACTTTCTGGAAAGAGCTTCAGAGTCACAGCCAGAGGTGTGTTTCCATGGTGATACTAAATGCGGTCAAATCGACAATGGAGATGGAACGTCCCATCTTACATTTGACATGTGAGCATTGTTCTTAGTCCGGGAGCCATTCTCCTGTAGCAAGCAAAAGACTTGCTTATTTTTAAACTCTTTGTATGTTTAAACAATTTATATAGCACATCGAGTCACGACAGCCAAAAACCTGGCCTCTCAACCAGATTGATTGGTACCTGCCTCCTCTCCCAGAGAGAATCGAGGCATTCCTAGGGGGAAAGCTTTGGGGAGCTTGGAACAATTCCAGGTTGAGGGCCCGAAGCTCCATAGAAAGTGAACTACTAAATGAGCTCCCCGGTCCTATTGGAAGTTCAAAAGTACAGATGATGAAGGTTATACGTGTGATGTTTTATGACCTTGCACATTACAGTCCTCACCCAGATGAGGTACCAAAGAAGAGTTGACCCAAATATGAGTCATTTATTTTATGGGACTAGACCTTGGTCAGAGGTCTCTGCATGCTGCTTTTTCTCACCTCCTACAGCTTCTAACAGCCTTGAAAACATCTACAGGCAAGATGCCCAACAGTCATTGGTTTCAGGCCTGCAGGAAGTTGACATTATTTTGAAGGGAAAAAAACCATCTTGAGTGTAGGGGTGTATAGAAGAGAGTGGATATGGAAAGCTGCTGAGAAAGCCATCCGATCCCTTGACATCCTTTTTAAAAGATTTATTTTTAAATTGTGTGTGTGTGTGTGTGTGTGTGTGTGTGTGTGTGTGTGTGTGTGTGTGTGTACGCAAGTGTAGGTACCCATGGAGCCCTAAGAAGGTATCAGAAGATCCCCTGTGTGGGTGCTGAGAGCTGAATCAGGGTTCTCTACAAGAGCAGTGTGCACCAACCACCACTGAGTCCTGTCTCCAGATTTGCTCAGCATCTGTTAAATAAGAAAATGTTGTAGGTTTGCAATGAGGACAGCTGCCCCTGAGGCTTTCTTGTAGCAGTAGTCCCTTACGTCACTTTCAGCCATTTCTCCTACAGTTTTCCTCTGTGTTTCTATGTGACATGCAACACTTTAATGTGTATACATATATATGTATATACACATATATATATATATACACACACACATACACGCATACACACATACACACACACACACACACACACACACACACACACACTTTACTAGTTTAAAAACATCTACAGACTTGCTAATACCTTAGATGGTAATTCCCCTCTCACCAATACCATACTGGTTTTCCCAATATAGTTAGATCACGTGGCTGATGCATCCCCATTTCGTGATAATGCTGTCTTGGGCATGTGGGGACTGTACTTCTGAACTAAGTTGTGGGCTGTGGTTACATATCCTTGCTTGTTACCCCCCTCTTTCCCTCCTTTCCTCCTTTTCCTTCTGGGTCCCTTCCCCATCTCCCTCAATCCATTCTTCACTAACTTTTTGAGAAATGGAACATAAGAAATAAATGTAGGTATTTTTAGATTTTTTTTTTTTAATGACTTAAAGTGTCTTGTCTTCTGCCCTTACCATGTGGCTGGGCGTAGATCTGCAGGTGGAAATGGTGCCCTCACCACTGCTTCCCAATGACATTAAAATTTCCGATGCCATTCCTATCCCCATGCCTTTATGCGTGACACAAACTCTCCCCATCCTGGAGACATCCCCAGTCTCTTCTCGGTCACCTGACCTGATGCTCTTGTGTCCTTGCTGTGGTACCTATGCTGAATCCTCAAAGAAATTTTCTTATGCTCTCTTGCAATTGCTTGCTTGCTTGCTTTCTGAATCCCTGGCTGTGCCAGTGTTGGGCCTTCTTGGCTCATTTATATTTAAATGAGTCGGGGTGCAGGTCTCCTCTGTGGCTGATACAAGTGGGGAGCATTATCTGCTTTCAGAATTGCCTTTGTTTTCTCTAAGTTTCATTCTCTTTGTTGGGCTCAGTCTCCACCTTTCAGGGTCTGAAAAATACCTGCGTCTATTCATGTTTAAAGATGATGCATCCAGGGGCTGGCAGGAAGCTCTGATGACCATCTGGTAAGACCAGTGTCGCCCAGTGGTCTGGCCTAACTATGGAGCGCCCACCCTATCTGCAGCTGCATGTTTCTCCTGGGGCTTAGTTCATTTCCTGACGGGTCTTCCCACCACTCCTGCATGGAAAAGAGGGACTCACACGGGGCTGCTGTTAGCCTGTGCAGTGCACTTGTTCGGCATCAGTAATCCTGTCCTCTCTGGGCAGAAGCCACCCTCCATCCACACGTGGTTTAATTGCCAGAGGAGAGCTATTTTCTCTTTCTCTGAGCAGATACAGACCTCGGCTAGGACAAAGGCTGGGTTTGGACCCCCACACTCTGCCTTGGCCAGGTGCACAAACCACAGGACGGGACCCAGAGATCTCTGAGTACTGAGTCTGGGCCTTGAAGAAGGCAGCCTCAGTAGTCACCCTGTGACCACCTGAAGTTGGTCCTGACTTCCTAGTCTTGTGTCCCTGGGTGGCGCTTTTCTTGTTCTCTAGGAGTAGGAGGCAAAGCCATCATCTGGCTGCATGGGAGGGGCAGGTGGCCCAAGAATTAGCACTGTATCTTAGCCTACCTTCACAATTCCGACTCCCAAGCCTTCTTAGGTGCCGAAGTGGGAGGTTCCTCAGTGCTGCCCCCTGCAGGCATGTGGTGTAAGGACCCTTCCCTGCTTCCTTCTACTTCAGCTCTGAATGGGTGGTGTCTGTGGCCTTCTGTCTACCTTTTCCTGTCCATGGCTATGGGACTTTCTTTTCCTTTGCACTTATTCCGACAGGTGAAATAAGTAAGCACATATGTTCTACACTCTTAGTTTCATTGCTCTCTGTTTTTGTTTGTCCTCACGTGGGCTTTCTAAATAGCCCAGGCTGACCTTGAACTCTTGTTCCTCCTGCCCCATTCCCCTACGTGCTAGGTTACAGGCGTGCACCATCATGCTTGGCTTCGGTGTGCCATCTCGATCCATAAATGCCTTTGGGTTTTCTTGCTGGTGGGTTAGGTGGCTCATTGTCCTGCTGACTTCACTGCGAACTTGTCCTGAAGGACTCCGCTGAAGCTCTATGATGACGTCAAGGGCAGGAGAGCATCAAGTGGCATGAGAAAGCTCTGTTTGAAGGTCAAGGCTTGGCGCATGCCTCCTCCTTCCTTTCCAGTTTTGCCACCTGCTCCCACGGAACCCTTAGATCTCCAAAATCCTCACAAGACACACATGGTGTGGTCACGTGGTTTCTAGCCTTTCTGTACCCGCCACCCCACCCCGGACTCCCATGTAAGGAACAGGTCATCCACACTGGCATTTGCCAGACAGCAGACAAGGTTGTGCACCAGTTGCTGTTTGGAGTTTGGGCAGGATTTCCCCCTAAAAGCTGTGGTTTTTCCCTAGCTTTTGGTGACAGAGTCTGGAGCCTGCTTGGCAGATGTGACCTTAGTGGAGAGATGTGCTCCATCACTCTCTCTGGCCCTGTGTTTGGCCACTGTTGGGCTCAGCTCCGGTCCAGCAGCACTCACTGGAACTGTAAACAATTGCATTGAGAAGGCAAGGATTCTCTAAGTCATAGTCTCTTTGGTGGCTTTGAGGACCATGGGAAGGTCCAGCACCTTCATTAGAGATGGAACTGAGGTGGAGGATCATGTGAGTCTCTAGCTGCAATACCAGTCCAGTAGGATGTTATCAAAATAATAATAATAATAATAATAATAATAAACCTACAGAAAACAAAAAAATGAGCAAAGAAAGCCTCATCACTTTTCTAGTCAGTGACTTTGGGATGATCATTCCTTCCCAATAAAAGTTTGTATAAAACTCCAGCCACCCCCAGTGAGGCCCCCGAACACCACTGGAGTGCATCTCACCATCAGAGGTTAGCCAGTGAGTAGGGGCGCACCTTGGAAGAACATAACCTGGCTTCCACAGTGACAGGGGTCTCTTTCCGTGGATGTCATTGGCATGATGATGTGAACTCCTTCATGTTGATTTCATCTTCTCCCCAGACTCCAGAGGGCTGAGTGGAGTCTGAGGCCTAGCCTCCCTCTCCCTCCTGCTTGGAGACTCTGTCTTTAGGGATCACCACTGATTTTCCTATCTGGACTCAAGGTGAGGTAGGGTCTGTGGCCGAGTGACAGGTGAGTCTCCTAGTCTATCCTCCTGGAGAAGGGGATGTTCTCATGAGCGCATCTAAGGATCTAGGTTGAGTGGCTGAAGACTTGGTGCTGGTGTCTTTCTCTCATTGGCTGAAAACCCTTTGGGGTTTTCCCTTACCCATTAGCCAAAGTGACAGAGCAGCCTTGCCTGGACTGTGCCCCTCTCCCTGACAGTCACTTGGGCATAGTTTCTGCCTGGCTTCTCTCTGGTCTCACATGGCCTTATCATCTACCAGCTTTTATAAGAGGAAGTGTTAAGCCATTGTATACTTGTAAATTCACTTGGCCAACAGTCCAGGGAAGTACTTCCTTCAAAACACTGGATCAAGAGATAAGGTTGTCACAGCTAACTAACTCTGGCTTTTGTGACGAGATTTACTGCTTAGAAAAACAAAGTGATAACCTGAGGAGATGCTGATTCTGGGGCGCCAGTCTACTTGGGAGTTGTGGGTGGGATTCTCTGAGCTAGCCCTTCCCTTACCCTTGTACTCTATCCCTACCCACTGCCTTCCCACCAAATTTTTGCACACTTTGAACCAACCTGTGCACAACCACTTAAATCCCATGAAATCCATGGTTAACCTACAAATGTAAATTTATGGCAAAGAAAAAAAAAATGTTGGCCTCTAACTTGTAGCAGAAAAGCTCACTATCCAAAACCAAACACATGGACCCTCAGTAGCATCAGTCAGCACTGTGTCCCACCCCCAGCCGCTCGCTGCCCATCTCCACCTCCAGCACGTGCTTCTTGGAGAAACAATTCAGGCTTTCTCCTTCAAACATAAACCTAGGGAAAGAAGGATTTAGAGGAACATAGTGAAGACTGAGGCTTGAAAGCCAGCCATGGTGGTGCACACCTATAATCCTAGCACTGAGGAGTCTGGGGCAGAAAGGCTGCCAACTTGGATGAAAGGAAGAGTGAAATCCCATCTCAAAAGAAGAAAATAAAAACAGCAAACAAATAAAAAACAACTGGACAAAAAAAAAAAAACCCCACAAAATCAACTTTAAAAAAGATTTCATTTTTATGTTAATGGGTATGAATGGTTTGCCTGCATGTATGTGTTTGGACTATGTGTGCAGAGCCCATGGAGGCCAGTGCAGGGTGTTGGGTCCCCTGGAACTGGACTTACAGATGGTTTTGAGCCACCGTGTGGTTGCAGAGAACCCAAACCCAGGTTGCCTGCCAGAGCAGCAAGTGCTCTGAATCACAGTCATTTCTCAAGCCCCCCCAAATAAACTTTTTCAAGCATTAAAACTCGGGGTGAGTGGTGAGGGGGATGAATTCTTTGGATAAAGTTATAATTGTCCTCTTACATGAGAATCCTTTTTTCTTTAAGCTTAAAAGTCATGAATTTTTGCATTGTTATTAAAAAAGAAATAGAAAAATCTCACTTAGTTGGAGGCTTGTTTCATTTGTGACAGTGAACGCTTTTTTTTCTTTTTTTTTTTTTTTCCAGCACGTCAAAAGTCAGTAGGAACTGAGACTGTAAGGCTGTGGGGGAAGAGCAGCCATAAAATGCCTGTGTTCTTGAGAGTCGTGTAAGGATTGAGACATGTTTTAAAGGAAAGTTGGGGAGTCCAAGTTTAAGACAGCCCTGGCTTGGGAATCCCACCCTGGCTCAGCCACAGACACCTTGGATAATGCACTTACCTCTCTGGGTGGAAGGGTGGAGGACCACAGCAAAAGTGCTCTCAGGGTTGAAAGTTCCAGGCTTTGCAAGGTCTGTCTGTTTGTTTTTATCTCTGTAAGTGATCAATGCACTTGTGTAAATGAATGAACTGCCAGCTTGCATACAGCTTGCATCGGTTGGATGTCTGAGAAAGGTGCCTTGGGGGGGCGGGGCGCGTTGGTAAGCCAAGGGTGGCCTGACTGTTACAAGGTATGAAGTGGAACCTGGTAGTTCTAAGTTGACACCCTAGACAGTGTCCCCGGGGTATTTCTTTGGAATTCAGTAATTTAGCTGTAGGAATAAGTAGCTATAGGCAACGGCCTGGATCTTCCCATCTGTCCCAGCTAAGAGAGCTGTGTAGGGCATCCCAAGGGGGGTGTGGTAGGGAGGGTGGGCTTTACAGTGAGGGATGCACCTGCCTTCTGCCCTTGAAATTGGACCTGACAATGCTACCTGCATTATTTACTTTTGTGCTGATAATATCAGGCAAAGACAAATAGGAAAATGTTCCTCCCTCCCCAGCACTGTTGGGACAGGTTGTGAAGCCTGGAGACAGGATGGTGTTCTGTCTTGAATACCTCTTACATAGGGGTGGGTGGTTTGTTCTTTCAGGGCCTGGGATATACTTAACAGAATTAATGTTTTCTTAATGGCATGGCAGAAGACCTCATGGCTTGTACCTGAAAGTTGCAGAACTATTGAGTGGGACAAAAGCAAAATGTTATTTTGTGGTATAAGGATTATTTTGTCTATTTAGTGAGCATAGCTATAGCTTTATAAAAACAAAGGGATCTTTGTAAAAAAAAAAATATGCTGTGTGAATGTGCGCTCTTATTTATTGATTATTGTGAATGAAGATATAAATGGATATTTGCATAATTTATACATGTGGGAAAACCCCTGGAGTATTTGTTACTTGATAGTTTTCTATCATGGAATATTGGGCCTGGTGCTACGATGAATGACCTTGTAAAATCACATGTATTCTTAAGAAAAATTTTCAATATAAATTTCTTTAACTGATCACTTTTCTCTGATGACTTCTTTCCATGTGTGTTCACATGTGTGTGCATGCATATTTGTGTGCCTGTGTATATGTGTGCACATGTGTGTGCATGTGTTCTTTCCAACCAGAAATGACACTATCCTTCTTTTCCCAAAAGTAGTCCTTTCACTGTCTGCCCTCACAGGAAACATGCTCGTCCTCTGATGTGATTTGAAAGAAAATGGCCCCCATAGGAAGTGGCACTATTAGAACGTGTGGCTTTGTTGGATTAGATGTGGCTTTGTTGGAGGAAGTGTGTCACTGTGGGGTGGTCTTTGAGGTCTCCTGTGTTCAAGCTATGCTCAGTGTGGTAAAACAGTTCACTTCCTGTTGCCCGTGGATCAAGATGTAGAACTCTTAGCTCCTTCTCCAGCACCATGGCTGCCTGCACACCGTCATGCTTCCTCCTGCCATGATGATAATGGTCTAGACCTCTGAAATTGTTAGCCAGCCCCAATGAAATATTTTCCTTTATAAGAGTTGCCATGGTCATGGTGTTTCTTTGCAGCAACAGAAACCCTAACTAAGACGCTCAGCTGTGTCCACTTGTCTTGAATCTTTTTGAGCAATGTTCCAAGAAGAAAAGACAACAGTGTGGCATCCCCAAGTGTGTGAGGCTGGTTCTCAGACTTTGGTCAGAGGCCACAGTCCTTGGATGCACAGGTTGAAAATACAGTGGTGTGATATTTGCACACCTCAGGATTACTTATGATACTGTGACCTGGGCTTATATAAACAGTTGTCATATTATTTGGGGAATAATGGCAGGAAGATAGTCTGCCCATGCTATGTGCCATACAGATTCAAGTGTGTGTGTGTGTGTGTGTGTGTGTGTGTGTGTGTGTGTGTGTGTGTGTGTGTGTGTGTGCTTTCTCTAGTTGTTCCAGTCCTCAGATTTGGAACCCTTAACACAAGGGATTGGCACAATGGTAAGCTCTATAGCTCAGAGACAGACTGCTAGGAGGTCTGCATTCCCTGCCTTTTTTTTTTTAATCTACTGTATGATCTAGACCAGTGGTTCTCAACCTTCTTGGTGCTGCGATCCTTTAATACAGTTCCTCAGGTTGTAGTGACCCCCAACCATACAATTATTTTGTTGCTACTTCATAACTGTAAATTTGCTACCGTTATGAATCATAATATAAATATCGGTGTTTTCTGATGGTCTTGGGTGACCGAGGGTGGGGCATGGGCAGTGATAGCAGTATCTCCAGAGCTCATTGGCCAGCCAGTCTAGCCAATCAGTGAGCTGGGTTCAGTGAGAGACTGTGTCTCAAATGATAAGGTGGAGAGTAATAGTGGGAGACACCAGTGTCAACTTCTGGCCTCCACATTGTAGGCACACCCAATGTGTACATGTACATGCACTGCACATACACATAGAAAAAGAAGGAAAAATGAAGTTTATTTTCACTTTTGTCTGTAGAGGCCTTCAGGCTTGATTCATCTATTAACCGACCTGTCCTTCCGGCCACTCTTGGCTCTCTTGTGGCTGTGCCATCCCTTATACCATGACTCCCATCCCCATGGTCCAAAATGGAGACTGTATATTTAGACAGCTCATCCCTGCTCCACGATGCAGAGTGGAGGGAGCGGCAGGTGTCCAAGAAGGACCACATCCCGTATCTTCCTTTGTCTCCTTATCTGGGTGAAGAAGGCACTGGCCACAGCTACCACGGTGGAAGGAGACTATTCTCCGGCTGCTTGTGGGGTTGACTGAATGATGGTGAAAGATTGGTGTGTTGTCAGCTTCTCACTGCTTTGACAAATGCCCGTGAGAACAACATAAAGGTTTGTCTTACTACCTTTCTATTGCTGTAAAGATACCACGGTCAAAGCAACTCAGAAAAGAAGGAGTCTATTTGGGGCTCACAGTTGAGAGGGTGAGTCCATGACCATCTCGGCAGGGAGCATGGCAGCAGGCAGGTACATCATCAAAGCAGTAGCTGAGATCTTACATCCCAAATGGATTAAGCATGAGACAGAGAGAGCTAACTGGGAATGGTGTGGACTTGGGAAAGCTCAAAACCCACCACTCCCAGTGACACACCTCCGCCAGCAGGGCCACACCTCATAATCCTTGCCAAACAGTTCCACTGACTGAAGACCAAGCATTCGTACACATGAGCCTATGAGGCCATTGTCATTCAAACCACCACAAGACGAAAGGTTTATGTTTACATTCTTGGAGGTGTTAGTCTCTAGTTGGATGGCTCCATTCCTGGGACCTGAAGTGAGTCGGAGCATCATGGCAGAGATCATGTGACGGGGCAAAGCACTTCACTTCGTGGTGGACAGGAAACGGGTGGGGGGTAGGGGTGAGAGGGTGGGGGAGGGATGGCACAGACATACTTCTCAAAGGCACAACCCCAGTGACCCAATTTCCCCAGTGAAGTTCTACCTCCTGACATCTCCATACTTCCTCAAAATGCCACCAACAGACCAATAGATTAATCCATTGACGAAGTCAGAGCCCTCATGATCCAACCATGTTCCAAAAGCTACATATGTGATCACTGTTTGCTCTGAGGGCCATGCCTTCAGTACATGAACTTTTCAGGGAATGGATACTTCGACCTTAATAAGAATTATAGTTGGGACGGCAGCAAGCATCCTGGTGGTGTTTGCTTAGGTTCCAGCAGTCAGGGGATGGGCCAGCTGTGGCAGCTGGCTCCCTCAGCACACAGGCCTTCTGGTTGGCTTTTGGCGACAGAGGTCAGAAGGAGATAAGAGCCTACCTTTCCTCTGATGGGGCACAGGAAGCGTCCGGGGAGAGGAGAGAAGCGTGAGGGGCATGCCTGACGTGTGCTGGGCACTCTCCCAGGTGCCCGGCTGTGGAGCACCCAACCCAACACCCCAAAGTTGTATGGTGGATGCTGCATCGTCCCACAAGAGGCAAAGATTAGAAGAAACATGAGTGGCAGGGAAGGCTCAGAGCTGGAATGAAAATCGAGGAATTTCCTGGGGCGTGAATGTGCTTTCAGAGCCCCTTCAGGTGCCCCCAAACAATGTGACCCCAAGAGGTTGAGGCTGATCCTGGTAAGGCCTTGAAGACACCCCCCATGGAGAAAGTTGGCTGCCAGGTGCAGGTATGAAGTTCTGTTCTCCCTAGGGAAGGAGACCACACCAGCTCCCAGTGCCCCAGCCCAGCAGTCAGATCTGGATTTCACGGACCTCAGACCAACTTCAGCTTTCCCAAGCTCAGTTCCTATCGGCCTTGCCACAGCCCAACTGTGTGCGCCAAGAGGAGCCACGTGGAAGCGACTGGAGCCTCAATAAAATGGCATCATCCTGTCTGTCCATCTTAAAGCTCCATTTTCCTGGAACTCAACCCTTTCCCCACCCACTAGTCTTCATTCCTGGATGTTGTTGGTTGTTGTTGTTTTTTCTTTTGGGGGCCCGCCACCTGCTCCCACATAAATATACAGAGGATTTTCTTACTTATGAATGCCCGGCCTTAGCTTGGCTTGTATCTTGCCAATTTTCCTTAACTTAAATTATCCTGCCTGTCTTTTGCCTCTGGGCTTTTCCTGCTCTCTTACTTCTGTAAATCTTACTTTCACTCCATGGCTTCCTGTGTAGCTGGGTGGGTGGAAAATCCTTTCAGATTTTTCCTTCTATATATTCTCTCTGCCTGCCAGCCCTGCCTATCCTTTCTCCTGCCTTGCTATTGGCCATCAAGTTCTTTATTAGACAGGCACAGTAATGCAGCTTAACAAATGCAACATAAACAAAAGTAACACGCCTTAAAATAATATTCAAGAACACCTGGATGTTGCTGTGCCACTGCCATAACAGATCAGGGAAACATCCCGGGCAGCCTTGGGTTTTCTAGACGGCCATCGGCTTTTCTCTGTGCTACCCTCTCTAGTCTCTACCCTTGTTAGAATTCCTAGCCACTCTCCCAGCTACATGACAGCACATGCGCTGTCCGGTAGCCAGGCAAGAGGCTTAGTCACCCAGGGCCTTAGGTCCTTTGTAATCTGTGTGCTGCACAATCACGTAATCGGTGTGCAGTGTGATCACGTAATCTATGTGCATGCGTGCCGTAGCTACACAAGCCCATATGCGCATGTGTGGGCGGAGCCTATAAAATCGGGTCCCACTTATCCCTTTGCCCTTTTTGCCTGCACGATCCTCCCCATAGGCCTAAACACATACCTTCTGTTCCCTTCCCTCAATAAATTCTTATAGTAGATTTTGTTGTACCTCATGGCTTTTCTTGCACAGTAAACAGCTCTGCTTAATGAATAACATTGCGCCGCTTAATAAATAACAACCCTGGCATACCAAGGAAGGCTGTAAGAAGACAGCATGGAAGCCGCAGACTGACAGTTTAAAACCCCTTGTGCTGGATCCTCCAGCCTTTCTGGACTGAAGAATGGCCTATCTGTGGTGACCAGGGAAAGCCCTAGAGTTTGAGGTGTGTGTAGGTGTGCATGCACATGTGTGTGCACGTGGGGTAATAGCGTTTACACCACTGGTGCCATGTTGTTTGCGGTTGTTTCCTAAAAATGATCTGTCTAGTCCCTGCAGGTTGTGGGAAGAATCCAGATGACATCTGTGAGGAGATAACTATCTGAGGAGGAAGTTTAACTGGGACCCCAGGCTGGGTCTGGGCATGTCTGGGGAAAGAACTCCCTAAAATCGATCATTCAAACCATACTTTGTAATTGAAGCAAAAAGCGCTTGCCATGTTGGTCCTTCACTGCCATGCCATCCCCATTCCCAGTGCCATATACAGGACAGTGTGTTCAGGGCTCCTGCAGTGTGTGTGGTATTGGGAGAAGTCTGGTTTGGCACAGTCCTTTTTGGTACCCTGATGATGCTGGAAGATACCAGCTTACTGAAGTGATGTGTTCAATGTTCCCAGTGTGACAACTAGACAAGCATCTCTATGTACTTGGAAGCCTTGGCACCAAGCAGTGTCTCTCCCTGTTAGAAAGGATTCTTCTAATCGTGAGTAAGCCCACTGTCT